GAACAAACATCCGATCTCTATTGAATCATTACTAGGCTCTCGTAAAAACATGTATCAATTCAAAATTTATGGGGTTTGAGCTAGTTTAAAAACAAAATCTAACTTCATAAACTTAAATATGTAAATGTTATGTAATTACGCGGTCCCTCTTTAGTACAAAAATTTTTAAATTCAAATTTAACGATACGTTCTCTCAATAAAATAGTTTTGAATGTGAATCCATAATTTTTTTTTTATTTTATGATACATTAAAAAAAAAAAACTACCTTTCATAAAATTTATTTTCAAATGATTATGTGTGTGTGTGAGAGAGAGAGAGAGAGAGAGAGAGAGAGAGAGAGAGAGAGAATCAATAATGCTTAAAGGACAAATATGGGGGGCCTTCCTCTTAAGGTAATTGTCCAACCTTAAACTCACCTTTTACTCCTACATTTGCTTTCCAAATCCAGTAACCTCAACTACCTGCTACCCAATCAATTCACGCCACCTCTGATTTGTGACCCGACCCACGACCACTAAAGCTAAATGCTATCCTTTTGTCTATCCTCCACCTAATACTCACTTGCCACGTATACCTTTCCACCAACTTTGTAAAGTTGATGGCTGGGATGCATGGGTCCATTGTTGTCGATCGCATTAACGGTTCCAATTACTTCAAAATCGAAAATGAATAAAATTTATTTGTATGCTTGCACGAGGAAAAAGTAGGATATTCGTGCTTTCGATGCCACTGATTATTTTGTCGAGTGATAGAATTAAATCGAACAAAAATTGATTGATTCTGATTTGGTATGGTTTCAGTCTAAATATTTTTTAACTTCTTTTTTGTAAAAGTATTATATTCTAGATGACAAAACTGTTAACCCTCGATTATTTCGAATATAAATTGATTTAATAGCTGAATGAAACATTACAGAAGTCAATAATATTGGAAACGAGTTAAATTTTGACTTTTCAGCTAACTAATAATAGGATCGCAACAATAAAGTTCTTACAAATTTACATCTTCATTATATTTCCGGGAGTGAAAGTGTAATTTTCAATTAAAAATGGATGGTAGCGAGCAGCGAGCCAACTCGGCTCTCACACTAACAAATTAGTTGGTGGATCGATCAAATCTCGTATTTGATTAAAGGGGCAAGTTCGTGTGATGTACCTAATTGAACCCAACAATAATTAAATCAAATACTTACCCCACCCCAACTAAAAGTCTAAAACATAAACAAACTGAATGATGGATTTTGGTAAAATCGTTTCCATCTCCGAAGTTTGAACATAGAGACACCAATAATTGAAGTGAGATAGAAAATATAATACTTAAAAATGAAAATATCTTTGTCTATAAGAATAGTGTAGAAAAAGGAGAGGTTGACAAAAAGACGTGAAGCACAGTACGAGACTCCCAACGAATGGAGATAAAGCAACCACGTCTCCCTGCATAGGAACTAACCTCGTACCCTGCCAACAATATACCTACCCCGCCCCCCTACCTATTTAAAATTGTACTTTCCTTAAACAATTGACATAATAATATGTATATTCTCAATTGTCTAATATTAGTATTATCATATGCTCAAAAGCATGTACCTCTATTTGTAAATACTTTTTATATTAATTTTACAACCATCTCATTTCTCATTACTCCTCCGTTACGCTTGATCGCGACAATCAAGAACAAATGCTACAAACTCGATTCAGTCAAAGTGTTCCAAGTAAAACTTAACAAAACTAAAATTAAATTAGTAGCTTAGACCCTGTTTGAAACTCCAAATTGTCCATGAAAAAGAGCTTTTGCTTCTTCTTCTTTCTTTCTTTTTTTTTTATTTGCAATTGGGAAAAAATTTAGAAGCAATGGTAAAGAAATTTATCAATTTCATTGACAATTTCCATGAAAAAATTATCACTTTAATTGACAATTTTCATAAAAAAAAGAAACCAACCAGACACCAAACTTTTTACATTTTCCAGGTGGAAATTTATACAAATCAAACACAATTAATTACAATTCTCAGTAAACTATTTTAGGCAATTCAATTTCTTATAAAACATTTTCTTTCCNTTTCCCTAGAATTCATTTTCTTTCCATCTATTTTCCACATTTGCAATCAAACGGATCCTTATTTATTTTAAGTAAACGTTTACAACTTGATTAAAAGTGTTATTACAGTCTAGAGACACACACTTTTAAAAAAGTCCTTCCTTTATTATAGTACAGTACAAAAATCTTGACAACCCGAAGATAAGCTCCATGTATTGGACTTTCAATTGTCACCTAGGAAAAAAATTTAGGGTTTAGTCAACATCAACCTTTAACAATGGAAATCAACCTTTTCTTGGACCAATACTATGTTGACAACTGAACTGTTAACCATTATTAAAAATATAATCATAATTTATTAATTAAAATACTAAATTAGGTATATTTTTCAATGCTTTGATTTTCGTCGTTGCTGACTAATTGGACATTAGTAAAGTACCAAATGAATCGAATCACATTGCAATCTCAATATTTGCATATATTTGAAAATAAAAATTAAAATGTCAACTTCCTTTCATTCAAGAATCATAAAAATCACACCTAAAATGTACCATCCATCACACATCATATCCATCAAAATCTACCAATCTTGGAATAAAAACTTCCAACCAAATGCTTTGAAGGAACACACAAAATTTCTTCAACCGTTATTGAATTGAAAATCTCGATCCCCCCTTAAAAGATAGGAGTGCCTTGATACAAAATAAGGTGTGTCGGTCCGAAATTCTAACCCATCTCTATGAACACGTCGTTGGCCACAAAAAAAGCCTTGAAAATGGATATGTCGGATACAACGCTACTTTTCCATTCTTGCTTTACGACTTTTTTGATAAAACTTTATAAACTAGTCAAACTTCAATTTGAACACACAAAATTTCTTCAACCGTTATTGAATTGAAAATCTCGATCCCCCCTTAAAAGATAGGAGTGCCTTGATACAAAATAAGGTGTGTCGGTCCGAAATTCTAACCCATCTCTATGAACACGTCGTTGGCCACAAAAAAAGCCTTGAAAATGGATATGTCGGATACAACGCTACTTTTCCATTCTTGCTTTACGACTTTTTTGATAAAACTTTATAAACTAGTCAAACTTCAATTTGAACTATACTTTAATGAGATACACAACTTTTCAACTTGACTTCTATCAAAACTACCCTATTATAATTGTTTAACGGAATTGACGGGAACTCATGAGAGGCAGAGCGTTACAATTTAAATAAAAATGGGGCCGATTCTAATCACTTGACGGAACATGATGCATGACGAATAAGCATCCATTAAGTGTGAATGAATAATGTCAAAATTCGATGAGACCAAGAGATATCATATCTTGCTTCCAAACTATACAAAAAAATCAACTATTAAATAACCGACAGATTACTGTGTAGCTGTCATATAATATTACATTATGATTTTATAAGCAAAACAAATTCGAAGGAGGAGATAAAACAAGAATAAATTATAAGCACGCCAATTCATACTGAACATGGACATTAATATTTAATAAAAACAAAATTTGCTTAATTCAGACACTCTATAGAAGGCTAAAAAAATCCTCGGACAGATGTCCACATGACCTAGAATCTATTATTTTATTTTCCTTTCACAGCTCGAAGCTGAAGTTCTTGTTGGACCGCTCCACCTGCACTCGTATGTTTCGTCGTAGTAGATGCAAACTTAAGAGTAAACAAGGAAGAGAGTGCACGTGATTCTCGCATAGAATAACAAACAAGAAGAAAATATATTCAAAGTTGATCGAGTGCATATGAAGCTATTCCTGTTTCAAGAATCTGACTTAATTACATAAAAAGTAACACACATTAACAAGTTGCATCTTCTGTACAATTCCTAAGCAGATTGTTCCTTAAATTTAGTGCCTATGTTATTAATGCCACGTTTAGTACATTTCTTGTTCTTCTTCAATAATATCGAGAGTACTATAGACGAGCCACAAATGGAATGTGTATGTGCTCGGATCCATGAACAGTCTAATCAATTAACTAGTGTTGTCCAATAGGGGAAGGAATCACAATCCACCAGCTTAGTGGTTTCTCATTTCACTTTACACTAAAGCCACTTTAAGTAATTAAGCTAATCTCCAATAACATTCTGTCTCAAAATCTATTATGCTTAAAGTTGAAAGTATGTGAAGTCATAAGAAACTACTAGAATAATTATAATTATTTGATCCAGTGGTCACATAGAATCTTTCTATGCCAAAAATAAATTGATAATGCACCATTTCTATTTGTCGTGTCTTCTCAACATAGAGACAGCATATATTCCCTTATCACAAGCAAAGAAAATAGTCATTCACAGGGCGAAAAGTTCTAGCTATGGTCTAAATCCTGGTCAAATTTAACTAGAAACACAAAAGCAGGCAGCCTGCTTATGCACTATCGATTCTTTCTTGATAAAAGAAACATAAACTTATATACATGATCAATAGTTCAAACTCATATTTCTAAAAAAACATGTGCATGATAAAGTGTAGAACATTTGTTTGAGACTAACTTTGACGTAGACACAGGTATAACCACACCATTGTCGATATATGTTGTGTCAGAGCATAAATTAGACGTGCAAAACAGAAACCATACATTCCCGGGCAAAATTGAAAATTATGACATATAACCTATTTGACTGACTATAGTAGTAAATTTAAGATACCAACTTGAACAGCAGACAGGAACAAGAATACCATAACTAAATTAACTACAATCACCACAAGTTCAATGATCAATCATTCTAACCCTAAAGTTGTTAAGAGTGAATGGATATACATAGGTAATCAAAATCCAACCTCAAAGAAAGAACACTAAATGTGGAAATAAGAAATAAGAAAAATATAATAGTAGATTAAGGTGAAAAAATTTATCATAAAAAATCTACAACTGAACGAATAGAAAAGATCATGGTTGGTACATGCCTTAAACTATTCAACTTTCAGCCCAGGTCCCTTACCGTGTCATCTCGGTATCAAAATTAACTATGCCGCTATGACCTGCAATGAACATATAACATTTAATGAATGGTGCAGCAGGAAAGAACATCTTATATTCCTTTGAAAAGTATGAGAAAAAGAGCACGGAAGGGTTACATGAGTACTGGCGAAATTAAGTTCAAGATATCCTTTTAGCAAATTTACATCCAAAAAACAAAAGAGGAGATAAATTTATTTATTTAAGCTATGTCTTCAAAATGCCCCCATGTGCACGCCAAATTCAATTTTTATCAAATACTTGACACAAGTACAATTTTCATAAATAGGTGGTGGCGAGACTTAAAACTCAAGATCCCTGTGCTAGATATCATATCGAACTACCATGTTTAAAAGTTTAATCTGAGTGTGGACAAATTTATTTGTATAAATTACGTCCTCAGCATTATTTTTCTTTTTGTTTTCCTCCTGATGTAGTCAGCATCAAGAATTTACAAGATCGAAGAAAAACAATAATACCAAACCTTGACAGTGAATTGCATTTATTTCCGGCCCCATCATTTCCACTCCGTCATCATCAATCAAGAAAATCCCAGATGCAGTTATGTTGAAAAGGAATGCCATAGGTGGAGATATTGAAGATTTTGCTAGCTTTATAAACCTCTGTCCTGTAAGAGACGAGAATTATTATCATCATAATCATTTACAAATTACAAAAGACAAAAAAAATCCAGAATAAATGAACAAAGTTCGCAACTCTGTCTAGTGATCTAGAATATGCACACAATATATAGTGTGGCTTTCAAAAGATCTAGTGTCTTTTCGTTACATGCTAAACTGTAAAGAAAATATAGTACATGTATTCTCTTTATTCTAATCAGTGAATTTTTGTGTAAATCACATCACCCTAGGCATGAGTAAATGCATTTACAAAATGAAATCAAGAACTTGAATTTATGAAGCATAATTTGTGTCGTGATAGAGTTTATGATTCTGAGATTTGTCTGTAAATTTTTAAGTCGTGCCTATGAAAATTCAATTCGACAATTGTATAATTTTCTTCCAATATTATAAACAAGGCAACCGAAGTCTACTTAACCCCTCCACCCTTCCTTGCCTTCAAAACCACAATGTTAGGGATTATATTTTAAAATAAGGCTCTTTTGAACGACGTGGAAACTTTTCCACCATCAACTTTCCAACGAGCCAGCATGTCAAAATTCTAACACACCCCATCCTCCTTGGGATGCATTTGATAATTTGGTAGGAAGAAAGAATAAGAACATAATAGAAATCAGCGTATGCATTTTTCAATGTCTGAAGGAAAGAAACACGCCTTCCCTGCTGGTTATATGGTGGATAACATGGAATGTGACAGCAGAAGCCAAAAACCAAAATGAGAGACTAGTTCACACTTATTCTAACGTGCTAGGACAGGGATGTAAATACTGAAATAGTACAGGAAAATAAAAATAACTCCTAAAACTGCTCCTATCTTCTATAATAAAACCTACTAAACTTAAAATAAATCATTAACCAAATGAAAGAGAGAGTAGAGGATGAAATGAAGCCACGATGAAATAAGCAAGCAAATGCATTCAGGGAAAATGCATTTCCAGAAAGAGTAATGTAAACAAATGTATTTAATTACTCCTGCAAAAGCATAACTTGGCATAAGATCCTGCAGCAAAAACTTCAAAGATGTTACATCCAAAGTAAGGTTCAACAACACCTGATCTAGATTCAAGCACAAGACGAATCGAAACAGCATGAGCCCAATGAATCCCCAGAGCAGCAACAAGATGGGAATCAAAGCTCATCAGATCTTCTGGAAATTCTGTTCTGTCCTGAACTGCACAGGATCTAATATTATAGTTGTTTACAGAGAATTTCTATAGCATATTTTACAAATAATACCTTGGAATAAATATCTGGAAGCTTCATCACGGCCTTGAGATCGTACTTGGTTAGTCACCACTACAGGAATTCGAGAAAATTCTGCAAGTGATCTGAATGTGAAAGAAAGAATATCAGTTATAAACAAAATCAAAATGGGAAATGAAAAAACAAGAAGGATTAACACATCCACAAAATCTCACTTGATAAATGAGATGTGCCAACCCAAAGCATGCTGTCTAGGAGGTCCCTGCCCATTCTCACTGAGAAAAGAAGAAGATATTTTTAAGATGATGATATGTTGTCATTTGTATTTAAAATGGGAAGAAAATTCTAGATTCTGGATTGTAAGAGGAGACTATGCAAGAAATTATTCACTAAGTTGTTTTAAGATAACATGCTGACAACAATATTTATTCTAAGCTTGTAAGAATATAAACACTTGCACTGTCGACATTTAGAATGCAATGGTGAGAGACCTAGAAAAGAAGGGGGAGAAAGAGGGAGATGGGATTAGGATACAGGTAGTAACTTTGTTATTTTAGTGAAGGAAGTTGAGTCTATATTTAAAAGTACGTTTCTTACTTGCCAACTATCTTCCCATGATGTCAAAATAAATCATTTTTTTTTAGTTTCCAAGTAAGAAAATGAAGTGACTAATAGGCTAAAATTAAAACACGTGAATCTGTTGGAAAGCTAATAACTTGAGGCGTACAAATCTTGTTAATGTACATTGAAACAGAAGAAAAGGAAATCACCCGGAAATAAGAGCTGTCATGCTATCGATTATGAGAAGCTTTACATGATGTTGGAGGAGAGAAACCTTGAGCTGCTGCAAGCTGGTTGATAAACATAAATGTATTATAAAAAAAGCAAACCCATGACAAGCAAGTCATCTCACCAAATATAAGAAAGTCAGAAATAAAGTAAAGAACATTTACTCGAATATACTCAAGCTGTAGCCAAGAATGTGATAAAGTCCAATTTATCCTTGTTAATTTTTCCTTCAATCTTTTTCTGCCTTGATTACGGACTATTCGAATCCTAAATAATCAATAGTTAATTAATCCAAATGCCATGCCCAAGGTTGAGGAAAACGCTTGAAAGGTGACCTGTTCCATAGGAACCGCAGGTGCAATACATAGTTGGTGTAAAGCCATTGTCCAAAAGGATACCAACCAGTTGCATAGAATTCCTAAGCCATACCTATAAAACTGTATCCCCTTCTCGTCCTAGTGGGATCTCACAGTTGACAATTAATTCCATGGCATCGCAAGCCTTGAATCTTGGTGTACAATGCCTATTCGAAAACCTACTAGTTGGAGCCCAACTAAAATGACTCTTGGGAGGTGAATTCTAAGAACCTTAGCTTATGAGAAAAGTACTCAGGTAGATGTGCATGGGTTAGACAACCAATACTTTTATATCATTCACTCAAAAGTACAGAGGAAAATACTATATCAGGTTCAGGGTAACCTACTATGCTGAGATTAGTAACAATAATGAATTCTGGATAGCATGGCCCAATTCATTGATCTCGGCTTCAATACCAAGGAATTTAAAATTTACACAAACCTTCAATATTTCCAACCGGTTGATGTTATTTTATATGTATAAGGTCAAATTTATAGATGTACATTATACATACGAGAGTTCTAGCCAAGTCTTGAAGCTAATGACAAAACAGACTCAGTTGGAGTCGTCTTCATTCATTATGCTCTCTCCAGATTATCCACTAGTGCATCCAACCATTTTCTTTTGCCTTTCTAATTATCTAGATAGTTTGACCTGTACTCAGGAAAAAAACATAAAAGATGATACCATTCCGCACCTTTCAGTGAATTCAGTTAATGATGCTGGCTGCAGAACTAGAATCCTACCTGCCATCTGAAACATGAACAAAAACTTATATGAAACATATTTCCTACAAGATGACCTTTTTGAAAAAATGTACAACTTCATGGCATTTTTTTAAACCAAGTTTTCCATATTTTAAAAAGGCGCTTAACTTCCCTTCTTTGTTACTGTTTCTTTGAAGGGGAAAAAGAAAATGGAGGAAAAGCAAATACAATCTTCGTTTATTCCTGTAAAATAGAAAGGGATGGGGAAAACCAGGATTGGTTCCAAACCTACACCCTCTGTAATTTGGTCCTCCCAATCCCACTGCCCACTTTGGGAAGTAATACAAAAGTCGTCGGTATAAAAATTATCAGTCATGTCCCGGCCGACATGGATGAGCATTATGGTAAAACTCGAAATTGATATTCTGATTCTGGATCTGACTAAATTAATTGCCCTCAACATAATATTCAGACAAACCTGTTTCTTGGTTATCTTGTGCCACCATAAAAAGAGCCGAAACATTTATATCATCTCATACCCATCACAAGCATCAAGGAGTGAATTGAGAAAGACAAAGTACAGAACACTGAACGTGCTTACCTCTTTTGCCATTCCTTCAGTTTGAAATATTTCTGGGAAACTATTAAACCCCATTTCTATCATTCTGAAAAAGAAAGGCAGAGTGCGACTATAAGATTCTGGAAATCCATTTATGGCGAAGCATTGAAATTAGTACAGCCGGATCAGCAGGTACCTTTTTGAACTAAATTTGGATTCCACATCAATATATATCACCCGACCATCTAAGCCTCCATAGGTAGAAGGCAAGGAAGCTAGTAATGCAAGCTTCAGGCAAAACTATAGGTGCAAAGAATAAAAGTAAATCAGCTCCACAAATAAGAAACCTCATCACCATGCAGAGGACACACGAGAGACCAAGTGACACAGAACACAAGCACAGAATTTAAATTCTACAATTAGTTGATCCAAAACAGATTTTCATGCTTCAGAATGAATTACAAGTCATTTTGATATCTAGCAAAATCAATGGTATTTTCTCAACCCATTGGAAACTTACATATTTAGGAGGAATAACTTTGAAAATAATGGCATCAAACACGTGGGAATTACAGAGTATGAATTGGTTTAGATCAGACTGATCAATTGTCTGAGGGAACAAGCATGATGTTCATTTGCAAACTGTGACAACCTTAAAAACATAATTTTGCCAAACTTCAGCCAATATGAAAAAGACAGTTTACACAACATTTTCCTGGTGAAGCGCCATGAGATTATTCTGATCAAACTGAACAAATTATTCTTCCTAAAAAAATAAGCCCCATATTATAATTCAAAAACTTTGAGAAAATTAGTTGTCAATAATATATTAAATAACACATACAGACGTGGAAGCCAATATTATTATTAAGTTACCTGAGTTTTGCCAATCCCTGCAGGACCAACCAACTCTGTTACAACACCAAATGGTATTCCACCACAAAGGGCTGCATCAAGTCCTTTTAATCGTGTGGGAAGATGGCCAGCCAAGTACTCATTTTGGATGCGATGCTCCAGCAATGACAAAGCCTACAATCACAGTTAATAAATCATTCTTTGGCAAGAACGTAAAATATAGTCCTCTCGTACGTTTCTGGTAAGCGAATGTTAATGAAATTCAATTATACTTTCTACAACCATATACTTACGGTTTGATAGGGCGGACATGAAACTTCACTAATATGAGCCAGTGCCAATGTTACTTCAGCCAATCCCACATCTAACAACTCCATCATCTCAAATTCAGTTAATGATAACGCATCCTAAAAGCAGACAGGTTGCATATATTACACTTAAAAATGGGATTAAATTCACTGCTCCTTAAAGATTATGTAGAAAAATCTATACTCAGTAATCAAAACCCAATCTAAACACCACACGAACAACTAAATGGGAGAATAAAAGCAACATGAAAGATATTAGCATCCATAAAAATGGCAGTCTTCGGGGATTTTTTTCTTTTACTATGAGAGAAAGTATACATAGAAGTATAAATCCGTTAGATGTTTAATTCCCAACCCCATACCCAATACCCCTGTGCACCTTTTATCATCTCCCAAAATACCTCTCTTCACCCACTCATATCTCAGATTGTCTGTACCCCTTTGGGGCGCTCGACTTAAATCCATTAAGGTGTAAAATTTACACAACATCAATAATAATTCTCTCCTCTTGTCGTCTACATACACAAGGACATAGATACAAAGTGTGGCATTGCATTTGATAAAAAGAGAAGTATCTGCTCGAGAAGCTTGAAAGCCAAGAGATAAGTTTTTAAACGATCAAAACACGCCCGAGGGGCTTGTTTCAACCCATACAGAGCTTTATTGAGCTTACAAACTACCTTATCATTTGGTGCAGGAGCTTCAAATCCAGGAGGCTGAGCCATACATATATCTTCATCCAGTATGCCATTAAGGAATGCATTATTTACATCAAGTTGGCGTACCTGCCATCCACGATTAATAGCAATGGAGAACCACACGTATTGTTATTGGTTTCACTACAGGACTAAAGGTATCTGTGTAATCAATACCAGGAACTTGATGATAGCCCTTTGCAACCGGTCGCGCCTTTTATTGAGAGATAGAACCATCAGGATTTCTCTTGAGTTTAAAAACCCATTTGCAACCAATCAACTTTCTATCTGGGGGCAAAGAGACATAGTTCCAAGTTTTATTGTTAATTAATGCAGCATATTCCTCATGCATTGCCATATTCCACTGTGGACATTTGAGAGCTTCTTTGAAAGAGTTTGGTTCACTATTTTGTAGGTCGGTAGTGAGAAGAACTTTAGGTTTAAAAATTCCAGCTTTGGATCTGGTGACCATATGATGAGTATTAATAGGCGGTGGATCCACATGCGAAGAATCAGACAGGGAAGGCAGAACAGTAGGCAATGATATAGGCTCAATGGTTGATTCACTAGGAAGTAATGAAGGCATAGAGTGTGTTGGAGGGTGAGGTGCTGGAGAGGTTTGCTGTGAGAAATCAAGGTTGGGAAAAGTAGTAGAAGATTGTCCAAGATGAGTAGATTGCATAGGCGGATAAAGGACTGAAGGAGGTTGACCGACACTAGAAATTGTAGAGGACTTTTGTGAAGCATATGGAAAAAATTTCTCATTAAACACTACATGGCGAGATATGAAGACCCTTCCATCAGGTGCTAAGCACTTATATCCTTTGTGGTTAATTCTGTAACCAATGAATGTACAAGGGGATGATCGAAAGTTTAACTTGTGTTTATTATAGGGCCTAAGGCAAGGGAAACACATGCAACCAAACACGCATAAAAATGAATAATCAAGTTTGGTATGCAATAGCCTTTCCAAAGGAGACTGGCCACTCAAGACTGTAGTAGGTAATCTATTGATAAGGTATACGGCACTTGAGAAAGCATCATCCCAAAATTTTAGAGGTAGTGAGGCTTGGGCTAAGAGAGTAAGACCACACTCAACAATGTGTCTATGCTTACATTCAACGACTCCATTTTGTTCAGATGTATGAGGACAAGAATGTCTGTGTGTTATCCTAGCTGATCTTAAGTATGGTGTAAGGGACCGAAATTCATCCCCCCAATCAGTTTGTAGAATTTTGATCTTTTTGTCGAGTAATAATTCAACTTGAGCCTTGAATCGAAGAAAGACGGGGTAAACTTCTGACTTGCTTTTAAGGAAAAATATCCAAGTAAATCTTGAGTAAGCATCCACAAAGCTCACATAATAGTGATAATCATTAGTGGAGGGTGTGAATGCCGGGCCCCATATATCAGAATATATTAAATGTAATGGCTCATGATAAACAACCTCAGAATGAGAGAATGGTAACTTTTTGCTTTTCTCCATGTGGCAAGCAGAACAAAATGATAAATCGTCATTTATTTGAACAGGGATATTACATGAGCACAAAACCGCCTTGACAATTGAAGCAGCAGGATGACCAAGCTTCATATGCCAGAGGTCCATAATTTGATTGACTCAACATTAGACTTAATTGGACTGGAAGACACTGGACTTAAACTAGCACCTATTGACTGTAAAGAAAAAGCAGTAGGATGACACGACTGACATTGAATAGAAGAAGTTGAGGTTGACAATTGGGATGATGTAGGAGATGCCTTAAACAGATTAAACCGATACAGCCCATTATGTAGTCTCCCTCGGAGTAGCCCCATTCCCGTGGCCTGATCGTTCACAAAACACAAATTCGGGTGAAATTCAAAATAAACATGATTGTCACAAGCAAACTGGCTAACACTAAGCAAGTTCTTTGTAATTTGTGGAACATGCAGCAAGTTGGACAAAGTATAAACACGGGACGAATTAGGAGAATTGAAAAAGGATGAGCCAACATGAGATATTGAGAGACCTTTACCATTACCCATCACAATTTTGTTGTTCCCCAGATATTCATTGTCGATATGCAGGTTGTTTAGATCATTGGTCACGTGATTTGTTGCTCCCGAGTCTGGAAACCACCCATTCTCAGCAAGTAACTCAGGGGTTGCTATCATTGCGACCATTCCATTATTTTAACGATATTTGCAGATTTTGGAGACGGTCGGGTTTGATGGCAACTGTGACAAAGATTTAATGGATGAAGTTGTTTACTTTTGAAATTTACGTATTTAAACGTTAATAACATACTTTGTCATTTCAGTTATTTCAAAAATTTGAGATTTAAGGTTTAATCAATTTTCTTAAATTAATCAAATGAGTTTTGTTGCCGACGAGGTTTTACAATTATAAATTTGATGTTTAAAATTTCGTTATTTTCGCGAATCTTTTTAGTTGATTCAAGACAAATAATGTTGACGTGGCACTTCGGATTCACGGAACTCGGGGGGTTACAGTAACACCTTATCTAATCCAACAAAAACTTTCTCAACTCGCTTCCTGGAAGCCTCTCGTGACATTACCTGAGGCCTAAGAATTTCTTTATGGCTGATTTCCTATACATGCTTCCTCTCTCGATGCTCACACCCACTTGGCCAAAAAGTTTTTACTGGCTCATAGGCCAAGATACACCAGCTTGGAATTTCCCAGGGAAATGCTTGCAAAACCGAACCACACTTTATCCAACAATTTCAAGATAAAAAATGACATGAATATTTCACTAAATATAAAATGTACAATTAAATTTCAACTAATCCCGCACTGTAGTCAAAAATGGAAATTAGCAATGATATTACAGCTGAAATAAGATAAAATCAATCGTACAATTAACCCGAATAATAGGCCAACCTAGAAATTACTTGAATAAGCTAGTCTTCCTCGGACAAAACAAGTAGAAGAAGAAGAAGAATTGGATGTATGTAATGACCAATCAGAGAAAAAATAAATAAATAAATGATCATTAAAGAAAAAGAAAAAACTCTAGTTTCACTCATCTGCCTGCAAATATAGGTGAAGTAGTACCTTGGCGGTGATGATATTACGAGCAGCAAAAACGTAGGCAATTGATTTGGGAAGACCTATTTGACTTATGAGCTGGATCGCCATTTCTCCGAGTTTCTTTGCTAAATTTACTCCCAGTATTTCATTTTCTGTGACTGTGTGTGGAAGACCCATTTGACTTATGAGCTGGTTCGCCATTTCTCCGATTTTCTTTGCTAAATTTACTCCCAGTATTTCATTTTCTGTGACTGTGTGACAAAAAAGTCGTTCGATGATCAAAAAGTCAAATTTCAATGAATAATGCTAAAGGACTCACGCGCGGTGACCGAGGGATGACCGCACACTCACCGTCCCGGCATGGGTCCCACCCCCGAATAAAATAATCCAGCCCCCTCCTGTATGTGTATGATCATTCCCACGGTCAACCACTCGGACCCTGTAGCAGGGTTCATTTTTAATATATTGGTACATTGTACTTGGACACCCAACCTTTGAAGATTGATGTCATCCTCAACTTCTGATTTCTACCACTCAGTCTCTGACCCATGGGTGTGTTCCATGATTATTATTGAGAAAAAATATATTTTAAATAGTGATATGATGGAAAGTATATGGTTAAAAAGTAAGGAAAAATTATTGATTTGATATAAAATATTCTTTTTTTGAAAAATATATGGTTAAAAATGAGTTTTAAAAGAATGTGTATCAAACATGAGTTATAATATATTTGTGATCGACATCCTTTTTTTGTGATTTTTACTGTTATACGGTTAATATCTTACGTGAAAATCATGATCACACCCTTAGTGTATGTTTGCGCCATATTATTTTGTAAGAATGTATTTTGGAATAATAAATTGATAGAGAATGTGTGGTTGAAAAAGAAGGTAAAATTATTGATATGATGAAAAATATTATTTTATTGAAAAATGTGTGGTTGAAAATTAGTAGAAGAATGAAAATTTTAACTTGGCTCAAACATGGCGTTAATTTAATAATATCTTCTATATATTAAAAGTGACTATGTAACGGAATTTCTTGTTTTAAACGGAAAAACTAACGGAATTTATTATTTTAACGGACTATGTAACAGAATTTCTTGTTTTAAACAGGTAATTACATCTTCTTTCAGTGTTTTTATCATAATTTTGCATTCTGATTTCCGATTGAGGCGATTCAAAATGAGTTGGAAAGCTAACTCATCTGAATACAACTTTGATTCAGACATCATTCTCCAATTCGATCATTTTCTATGCCAAAAATATGTCTTAATATAACGGACTATGTAACAGAATTTCTTGTTTTAAACAGG